AATTTCAAGCGTTAAGAGAAAATTCTAACCCAACCAACCACCCAAAAAACATACAAACGAAGGGCCGTTAACGCAGATATAGGCTTGGTTACAAGCGCACTCGCCAGCACGCACGCACGCACAAAAAACAAACACACATACACACATATATAGACATATGGTGTCTGATTCACGTTTGAAGTAACTTAGTACACTAAATGTTTGAAGCTGATTGGCTCATGAGGGAACATGGCAGTAGATGCTTAAAAGCGTCCAAAACTCAGTCGTCATCGTTCGCGTCTGTCACCTTAAGTATCCAGCTAATTCCATGGAGAAAACCATTGAGAAGTGCGTGCTCACTCAATTAGTCAAATTCTACGGCTTTTATAGAACTCTATGATTCACTACCGTGTTCACAAAAGGCGGAAAACTGTCCCTAGTCAGATCGAAATAATGCATTTCACCTACACCGAATTTATTTCAGAACATTTTTAGTAATGTTCTCCCATTTACGCCAAGGTCTTCCAAGTTGTTCGCAGTTCTGATGTGTTAAAACCATTTACGACTGGGGCATTTGTCAAGATCTAAATAACATACATATCATTTAAATAAGAGCTGTATACATTATACGTACAACTGCATTTGTCCAAATGTCTCACAACGTTAACAGTTTATGTAATCCCATTCCTGTGGTTACTTCCTGATAGCTTCAAGATTCTGTGGGCTTCAACTAATTACGTGTTATGCTGCGTGTTACATCTGAGAATATGGATTTTTACGTATATATATATATATATATATATATACGTAAAAATCCATATTCTCAGATGTAACACGCAGCATAACACGTAATTAGTTGAAGCCCACAGAATCTTGAAGCTATCAGGAAGTAACCACAGGAATGGGATTACATAAACTGTTAACGTTGTGAGACATTTGGACAAATGCAGTTGTACGTATAATGTATACAGCTCTTATTTAAATGATATGTATGTTATTTAGATCTTGACAAATGCCCCAGTCGTAAATGGTTTTAACACATCAGAACTGCGAACAACTTGGAAGACCTTGGCGTAAATGGGAGAACATTACTAAAAATGTTCTGAAATAAATTCGGTGTAGGTGAAATGCATTATTTCGATCTGACTAGGGACAGTTTTCCGCCTTTTGTGAACACGGTAGTGAATCATAGAGTTCTATAAAAGCCGTAGAATTTGACTAATTGAGTGAGCACGCACTTCTCAATGGTTTTCTCCATGGAATTAGCTGGATACTTAAGGTGACAGACGCGAACGATGACGACTGAGTTCATATACACATCATTGTTTTGTTGAACAATGCCTTATATTCCTGTAGCATGCCATGGACTTCCATTATTTTAGGAAACGCAGAGATCTAGCGCAATTTTACAGAGTCCTTTGCATCCTCGCATGCTAAGAACACTCATTACGTTACTATAGTCCTCACCCTAATAGTTCACTGCAATTTTATTTCACTTTGTTCTAATGGATTCATATTCAGGAGGAACCAGACCGTTTCTACGCTACCATTATCATGCATTATGTCATGTGGCCTGTGACGACTCATTTGCATGTATTAGTGGTCTTCTTAACCCTTCGAAGATGAAGTTCGTCCGAATAGCATTTAAAAATTCAGTCCGAACCACAAAGAAACAAAAGACTTCACCAGTACAAATACCAGCAGATTGATGCTGTACATGGAAAGAATCTCAGTTTACAGCGATAGTAATACAAAACCACAAACAGAAAGCGAAGAGTTACTGACTGTTGAGGCACGTGGGACATAAACTTATCATTGGACTTTGAAGGGTTAAATAAACTTCTCTTCAACCTTGGCATATAAGCTCATCATGTAACATTAATAAAACCTGTTGTTGGTTTGTTAATTGGCCACGAAGCATCGAGTTTAGTGTCAGAGATGCTGTATTTGGGTAGCATCTGGACAGACTTTGAAGTGGTATTTGCCCCAATCTTGATGTAATAGTTATACCGCAGTTACTCGGTAGTCAAAGTCTCGTTAATTAAAATAGGTTGCGATAGAAGTAGTTCAGACTAGGGGTTGGATAGGGGGGGGGGGCTATTGGAGGCGTTTCTCATGTCCCCGATAGTAGATAACCAGATGTTCACGGTCTCAGTAGATTGGCTTATTTCTACTGCTGGCATTTTCTATTCTTATGACAGAATGCGTAATATCTGTACTGTTGTCGATCACACATCAATCCTGAAACTTCAGTCAGGCTTGCGGATGCTACCGACTGAATTTTTAATTCTATCGGCGTTACAGTTTTAATTAAAACACGTTTTTTAAGCTAGTATTTTTTTTCGAGGTAAAACGCACTGCAAGTTTTATACAAAGCAGAACAGAAATGAAAAGGGGGGTAATTAGTAATATTCATTTATAATACTCCAGCTTTTGCTTCCAGTGGCGTGCAGATTAGAATATGATTGAAATTTACTTGATTTCGTTTTGTAATTCGATCCTAAGTCCTATCAATATTTGAATATTCTGATTGGAAGCTGTACAACAAATGTGCCCGGCATACGTCGTTCACATAAATCAAAAAGCAGTCTGTTTTACCACATCCACCTTCTTTCCT